CAGAGTGAAAAGGGTAGATGTTTTCCTAAAGGCTTTAGGAGCCACTGACAGGTTCAAAGCAAGACCAACACGATCCAGTCTGCTGTGAAAAGACCACCTGTCTCTGTTGTGGGGAGAACGGATCAGGGAGGACCAGAGTGGATGCAGAGGACTCCCTGGGGACTGCTGTGGTCACCCATGTGATAGGTGATGGTGGCTTGGATTAGGGGGTGGCCAAGGAGAGGAAGACAGCTGAAGAGTTCTTGAGTGTGTTTTGGAGATGGGGCCGGCAACCTGTTGATGGGTCAGAAGTAGAGGCTGAGGGAAAAAAGGATACTGGTGGAGGATGGTTCCACTTCCTGAGATAGGGACCTTGGGGGAGGAACACATTTGGAGAAGACAGTCCAGACCTCTGCTTTGACCGTGCAGGTGCTGAGACGTCTGGTCAACAGCCAAGTGGAGATGTCCAATGTGCAGCCAGATGCAGGGGCTGGAGGGAGAAAGTCATCAGGGGCCCTCTCACTCAGGGAGAGAGGACAGAGAGAGAGGGGGTCTAGAACGGAGACTTGGGGTCGATCAAGATTGCGGAGGGGGTGACAGGGAAGACGTGGCAACCAAAGAGGCTAACGTTGGAGAGGTAGGAGGCCATCTAGCCAGGGGACTGAGCTCCAGGTCAATACATGAGTCCTTCCCCGGCAGCTGAGAATCCAGAAGGGAGGCGTCAACCACTTACAGTAAATTCAGAGTGTAGACATGAAGGCTGAAGAATAAATGCTTACTGGGCAGGCTCTGCTTTGGGGTAAGGGGGCTCACACTTTTTTTTTTTGTTTTTGCTCACACGTCCCTTTGCACGTTTTTAGATTAACATATATTAACATAGAAACTTCTCATTATAAGTTTAAGTGGTTGCAAAAGACGCAATTTCCTGTCTATTGTAAGCATGGGCATTTTAGGGTAACATTGTTACTCTGTTCTTCTAGGTCTGCTCAATGGAATCTGAACGCCATAGCAGCCTTAACTGCCATCATCCATTCATAAAATGCGTGAACAAGTCAGATGTTTACAATCAGTTTTCGGTATTTCAACTCACACTTCCCCCATCAAATGTCATCCTAATGAGTGTACTTTCTGCCTAAAAGTCGTTTATCAATCATTCTACCTTATTTCTCTGCAACAAAGGTATGTATATACTACAAATTAAAACTTCATATAAAAGTTTTTTCTGGTGACCACAAAGCTCTAAGTGTTCAAATATTTCTTTTGGATTGCTGTGTATCAGTACACAGTCAGTCAAACCAACATAAATGCGTTACAATTTTTTTTCATAAATAATTATTAAACCAAGAATTAAGATTTTATGGAAAATCTATCTATTAATGAGATGGATGGGGTTCTCTCTCTTTTCTTTTTTCCATTTACTTCGTGTATCCACTGGGGAAAGTTACTTGATTTTTCTTCTTCCCAGGGGGCCAGAGGTAAGACGGGGGAGGTGAGAAAGGAACCTGCAGGAAGCTGGGCCACTGGGGTCTTGCTCAGGGAGGAAAGAGGAAAGAGGCTACGTTTCCACTGTAGAGCACAGGGAACCATATTCAATATCTGGTAATAACCTATAATGAAAAAAATCTGAAAAACGGAATCAGTTTGCTGTACACCTGAAACTAACAAAACCTTGTAAGTCAACTATACTTTAATTAAAAAGAAAGTAAGAAAGAAAGAAAGAAAGAAAGAAAGGGAGGGAGGGAGGGAGGGAGAGAGAGAGAGAGAGAGAGAAAGAAAGAAAGAAAGAAAGAAAGAAAGAAAGAAAGAAAGAAAGAAAGAAAGAAAGGAAGGAAGGAAGGAAGGAAGGAAGAAAAGAAGGAAGGAAGAAAGGAAGGAAGGAAGAGGCTGAGTTTCTAGGATTGGCACCCTTACAGTGATCTATCCCACGTGTCCTTGGGAAGTCTTCATCTACCTCCAGGTGTTCACATACTCCAGGGTGAAGGTGGCCGGCTTAAGACAGGGTAAGGCCCACCACAAGGGCTGCCACCCTACCTCCAGAAAGTTGGGGCTCAAAGCACCTCTCCAGGGACACCTGACAAGCTTTCTCCACCAGGGCCGGTGTGAGCAGGTGGCCTGGCTGCCAGGCCCTCGTTATCTGTTTAACCTAATCGGTTTTCCTGCTGGCTCTGGGACAGAGGCCGCCTCAGGCATGCAGTTGGTCAAGTCCAGCGTGTCCCCTGGGGTGCAGCTGTGAGGGATGGAGGAGCACCTCTGTGGCCTCCAGGGGATTTGCAACACGGGCTGGGGCAGGTGTGCGGAGAGCAGGAGGTTGAGACCATCGAAGTTACAGAAACTGGTTCATTCCTTCTCTTCCTAGCTGAGTGGTTCTGGACATGTGACCTCACTTCTCTGGGTCTCAGTTTCCCTATCTGTAAAGTGGGGATCGCATCAGTCTCTTCCTCTTGGCGTTGTTGGGCATACCAATGGGCTGATGCATATAGAGCCCTTACCACTGCAGACAGTAAGAGGTCAGGAAGACCTCTTACTGTGACTGTCACCGCTTTTGACTCTCTCAGCAAATTGTGTGAGGCTCACAAGTCAGGAGAGACTGTTTATTTTTTTAAAGATTTTGTCGATGTGGACAATTTTTAAAGTCTTTGATGAATTTGTTACAATATTGCTTCTGTTTTGCATTTCAGTTTTTTGACCGCGAGGCATGTGGGATATTAGCTCCCCAACCAGGGATCGAACCCGCACTCCCTGCATTGGAAGGTGAAGTCTTTAACCACTGGACCGCCAGGGAAGTACCAGGAGAGACTGTTTAGACCACTAGTGTTTGAAAGGAAACGTTTGTGTCTTTAAGGATTGTATATGGTGCTGGAAGGAGTCGATGGCGTTTGGATCTGGAATTATGAAAGCTCAGTAGCTGGTATCTATGACTCTAAAGATAACACAGGGCTTCCCTGGTGGCGCGGTGGTTGAGAGTCCGCCTGCCGATGCAGGGGACGCGGGTTCGTGCCCCGGTCCGGGAAGATCCCACATGCCGCGGAGCGGCTGCACCCGTGAGCCATGGCCGCTGAGCCTGCGCATCCGGAGCCTGTGCTCCGCAACAGGAGAGGCCACAACAGTGAGAGGCCCGCGTACAGCAAAAAAAAAAAAGAAAAGAAAAAAAAAAGATAACACAAAATACAACGTCCTGCAAGCCTGCAAGAAATGAGAAGGTTGGCACTAAACAATGGAAGCTCATCAGAGTCCTCATCACCCCCCACGCCCACCCTCCTCCTGTTCCTTCCCCGTTGGGCCCCTCGCCTCCCCAGCCACAGCAGCGCATCCCCCCCGCCCCCGCCCCATTCTCGCTCCCTCCTGCTGCCGCAGCTCCACTTCAGGCCACTGTCTTCTCTCCCGGAATACTGCCCCAGCCTTGGACCCAGTCTCCCTGCCACAGTGCTGCCCTCTCCAACCCCAATACAGGGCCAGAGTGGTCTGAACAATCACTGCCCAAAGCCCCCCTGGGGCTCCCTTCTGGCCCCAGGATAAAGCATGGCGCAAAAGGCCTTGATGATTTGGCCCCTGGCTGCCATTCCAGTCTCTCCTGTCTTCACAATCCAGCTGCCTGAGCACCTGGGGCTCCCTGTGTGCCCAGCTCCCACTTACCACCAGCCACAGCACATACTACCCCCTGCCTGGAGCGTTCACGCAGACCACCTTCGCCTCTCGCCTCCTCACTTGCCCCAACCCCCTTGGGTAATTTTTCCCCCTTCTTCAGGTCAAAACTGAGACATGGAAGAGGAGAGCCTTCCCCGACCTGCCCATTGGGTGAGGTGCCTCCTCTGTGCATCCCACACCACAGCACTGACCGTGCTGGTCACAAACTGTCCATTTGCCCATTTGTCTCCCTCACTAGACTGACAGCTCTGTGAGGGCAGAGACTGTGCCTGTCCTATGCCCTGCTTTATTTATTTAAAAAATGTTTTTGGCTGTGCTGTGGCATGCAGGATCTTAGTTCCCTGACCGGGGACGGAACCCATGCTCCTGCAGTGCAAGCGAGGAGTCCTAACCCTGGACCGCCAGGGAATTCCCCTGGGCCCTGCTTTATCCCCAGCATATGGCACTGGATCTGACACAGCCAGTGTTTGTTAAATATTTGTTGATACACTGGCTGATGAGTGAACTCAACCAACTTTGGCAAAGCCTGGGCCAGCGTTACCTGGACAAACCCAGCAGCCATCGTGATTTTTGATCTGACCGTGTCATTCCCTGTGTGAAACCTCCTGTGGCTCCCTATTGCCCCCCAAACAGAGGCCTTCCCCTTCCAGTCTCTGCCTAGCTCTCCATCCTCATTCTCACCAGCCTCAACCATGTGAAATACTTTCAGTTCCCCAAACTGCACATCCTGCATATTCTGTTCTCTGCATAGAACATCCTACTACTCAATTTTTGCCTGGCTAACTCCTTTAATTCTCAGTTCAGACTGTGAGCGTTCCCTGCTCCATGGCCTCGGTGCTTCTCTGACCGCTCACTATTGGCCCTTGCCCACTGACTGCCTCCCCCAGAGCCTAGAAGCTCGAGGCGGGGGCGGGCAACCCCATCTCCTTCCCTGCTGTCTCCCAGCATCCAGCAAGGGGCCTGCCTTGTAGCATGCTCAGTGAAAGAATGCGCTTCTGGGTTTGACCGTGCACACCAGGGCACGTCTGCCTTGGTGTAGCCCCAGTGCTCAGCCTGGGGCCAGGCACCCAGAGCACTCTGCAACTGTTTCAGGAAGGCAGGCAGGGTGGGGAGACTTGAGAAACGCTCACGATAGCTCCAGGGGAAGTGAAGGGAGGAATGACAAAGCAAAGTGTGAAGGATCTGAGAAGCTCTTAAGAAAAAGAAACCGTAACGGCTAGCCGTGCGTTTCACCTGATGCTGAGAGTCACTACCCCTTTCCGTGGCTCTCACAAAGATGGTGGCGCAGAGCCACGCCCCTCGCCAACAAGGCCTTCCCACGGTCGGGGGTGGCCTGCGGGGCGGAGGTGACGCACAGATCGGAAGTCCGTCCCCAAGCTCGGCCGTCTGGGCGGCCCTAACAGCGGCTGTGGCTGGCTGCGAGCTGGGCGATGCATCCGGCTGGGCTGTTCTGGGTCGCCGCGGCGCTGCGGCTGCTGCTGGCGGCCCACGTGGCGGCGGCGTTCGAGCCTATCAGCTTGGGCATCGCCGTCGGGGCCGCGTCTGCCCTCACCGGCTACCTGTCGTACACGGACCTGTACTGCCGCTTCGCCGAGTGCTGCCGAGAGCGGCCTTTCAACGCGTCGGGTACGGCGGGTCTGCCCCGGAGGGGCTTGAGGGGCGCGGGGGACACCTCCCCGCGGGCGTCGGCGCCCGGCACCCCGCGCTTACCCTGAGGTGGGGTGGGAAGGAGGAGGGGTGGGGCCTCGGCCCGGACTCCAGCCTCGGAAGCCGTGTCTTCGGAGACAGATTCTCCGGATCGTGGGGCTCTGCCCAAGTTCCTTTCTAAAAGTTTGGATTCCTTGTGATGACAGTAAGAAGAAACTGAAAGCAGCAGCCCTTCGGCGCCATGTCACCCCTGTTAAGTAGTTTTCAGATGTGCAGCGTCTGGCCAGAAAGCCCACCTTTGGCCCTCGGTTTCCTTACAAGCCGCAAGGGGTGGCTGGGGAAATAGCAAGCAGCTGAGTGAAGAGAGGGCCAATCCTTGGATGAACGAACACATTTAGTTTCCTTTTCTAGTCCATTTCCTTGGAAGTGGCGTCGTGTGACTGCAGCCCGTGTGGTTCTGCCTCAGCGCTAACCCTGGGGTTTGGCAGAGACCCTGCTGGACCACTTGCTAACCTGTGCCTCTCACTTTGGCCAGCTGGGGAGAGTGCTGCTTTTCTGGTGCACATTTAATGTGTATTTTTCTCTCTTGTTCCCGGGCTGGCTCCCGCAGCCCTCAAGCTGAATTTGCAGGAGAAGCTCTTTGGGCAGCATCTGGCCACAGAGGTGATTCTCAAGGCGCTGACTGGCTTCAAGAACAACAAAAATCCCAAGAAACCACTGACTCTTTCCTTACACGGCTGGGCTGGCACGGGCAAGAATTTTGTCAGCCAAATTGCGGCTGAAAATCTTCACCCAAAAGGTCTCAGGAGCAACTTTGTCCACCTGTTTGTGTCGACCCTGCACTTCCCTCACGAGCAGCACATAAAACTGTACCAGGCAAGGAATTCTGTTATCCTGTCCCCTGGCCTCTCTGACCCGTCCGGGCGACCTGCTCCCTGACTCCGGCCTCTGCTTCTTTCCTTTGCACTCCAGTAGCCCCAGGTCCCTGCACACTTCCCCCACCCTGGCAACCCTTTGCCATTTGCAGAACTCTCCTGCAACTTTTTTTTCTCGCTGATTCCAAAATAATACAGCTGGGTAGGTGATGTTATTTCCATTAAAAGATGGAGGCAAGAGCCGCAAGCCGACTTGCTCCTTAGAATTTTTGTGCAAATCAGAAACTGGGACCCAAATCTCCTGACTCCCAGTCCGCAGGGTAGCTGTGTTGCACAGTGAGTATGTTCAGTATCCCCATCACAGCCCTTGGTTAAGTGGAGCAGGTCACACGATTTGCTTGGACACGACTTCATTTAAGGCTCCTTCTGTGATGCAGCTTCAGCCTGGCCCACATTCTTGGCATTGCTATGTTAAGTCGTCCAGTAGGGCTCTCATTTAAACGGACGGACGTCCTTGTGAAAGTTAGTGTTCCTAGTGTTAGGTGAGGACTGAAATAAGGAATAGAAACTGAACAAGGAAGTGAAAGTGGATATATTTGCCCCATAAACGGTAAGACAGGGAAGACTACTAAAAGGAGAGAATGATTTTCTTATTTACCAAATTCTGTCATAAATCCCTAGAAATACAGGAACGCTTTTCGTGAAATGTCATCTAGGGCAGCACCTTTGTTCACTGCACCAGTAAAAGGCACTGGTCTTGGGATGCTGTGCCGGTCTTAGTCTAGTTTCTTATTCCTCAGTATGTCTGGTAAAATTAACGTGAGATTCCCAGCCACAGGGAGATGAAAATTACGGGTTGGTTAACAGTGAAATGATCAATATTCATGTATCTTAGACCCCGATACCTTTAAAAAGTCACATTTGGCACGTCGTTTGAGTTAGGAAAACACTTATTTGCATTTTAGCACCTATCTCTCTGCCAGTTTCCACTTCTTATAGATGAAGTTTTGGAAAAGCTCTCAGGCAGTGAGTGGAGGTTAGGGTGCGATTTTTCTTTGTTAAACCCCAGAGAGCTCTGATTTTTCACCTTCCTGAGTATGAGGAACAGTGGAACGCTTTTGCTCCCCTGGGCATATCTTTTGAGTCCCTGCATCCTATTTCTTCTCTTATGGTTGGTCTAGGACCAGTTACAGAGGTGGATTCGGGGTAACGTGAGTGCATGTGCGAGCTCCGTGTTCATATTTGACGAGATGGATAAATTGCACCCGGGGGTCATTGATGCAATCAAGCCATTCCTAGATTACTACGAGCAGATTGATGGTGTGTCTTACCGGAAGGCCATCTTCATCTTCCTCAGGTCAGTGGGAGGTGTTTCTCCGAGGGCACACGGCCCTTCATTCTGCCAGGGCTAGAAGGAGGTCCTGGCAACCTCAGCAGATCCCAGGGACAAAAGTGCCAGCCTGGCAAAAGTGACTTGCGGGCTTCTTTTACTTTGGGGTTGCTAGTGTCAGTATGGCACAGAGCAGGGGAAGGAGGAAACGAATGAAGGAAATAGTAGATAACAGGTAATTTCATTACTTGCACGTGATGTCTCTGAGGGTTATAAAAAGTTGTAGCGGGCTTCCCTGGTGGCACAGTGGTTAAGAATCCGCCTGCCAATGCAGGAGACACGGGTTCGAGCCCTGGTCCTGGAAGATCCCACATGCCACGGAGCAACTAAGCCCGTGCGCCACAACTACTGAGCCTGTGCCCTAGAGCCTTTGAGCCACAGCTACTGAAGCCCGCGCGCCTAGAGCCCATGCTCCGCAACAAGAGAAGCCACCGCAATGAGAAGCCCACGCACAACAACGAAGACCCAACACAACCAAAAATAAATATGTATTAAAAAAAAAAGAAAAGTTGTAGCATGACACACCAAGTTCTGAAAAAGATTTTCAGTTCCTGAGGGCAGGTGCTTTTTTTTTTTCTGTCTAGTAGCAGTTAGTAAATATTCCTTGGTTGAGAATAAACCTTAGAGAAATATCACAATCTGATTCCATATTAGAAAAGTCACAGTGTTTCCTGATGATATGTGACATTTGTAAGAAGTCATTACAACCCTTTAATACATATAGACTGGCTTATATATTTGACTTTGAAACAAGCTGTATAGGGACCTCCCTGGCGGTCCAGTGGTTAAGACTTGGCCTTCCAATGCACGGGGTGCGGGTTTGATCCCTGATCGGAGAGCTAAGATCCCACATGCCTCGCGGCCAAAAAACCGAAACATAAGAAAACAGAAGCAGTATTGTAACAAATTCAATAAAGACTTTAAAAATGGTCCACATTAAAAAAAAAAAAAGCTGCATAGAAACTGAAAAAAAAAAAGAATAAACTTAGAGCAGGTACGTTTCCTGATTAGAGAGAGAAGTCTTTATTTTTAATTAATTTTTATTGGAGTATTGTTGATTTACAATGTTGTGTTAGTTTCTGCTGTACAGCAAAGTGAATCAGTTATACATATACATATATCCACTCTTTTTTAGATTCTTTTCCCATATAGGTCATTACAGAGTATTGAGTAGAGTTCCTGTGCTATACAGTAGGTTCTTATCAGTTATCTATTTTATGTATAGTCGTGTGTATATGTCATAGACAGAGAATTCTTAATGTGTGATTTTAATCTTCGTTTCTTTGGCAAACTCAGCAATGCAGGCGGGGACCTCATAACTAAGACGGCCCTTGACTTTTGGCGGGCAGGGAGGAGGAGGGAAGGCATCCAGCTGAAGGACCTGGAGCCCGCGCTGTCTGTCGGAGTCTTCAATAACAAACACAGTGAGTGCCCCTGGCGAGGAGCCCTCACCCTGCCCGCAGTCACCGTGTGTCTCTTTAAGCCTTTCGCGAAACCACAGAATCCGCTCGCCTCCGTGCCTTGGTTAAAGTAGGGACTTTTTCGGAGGGCATTCTATTCTAGAAGCTAGTTAGCAGGGGTAGCCAACCGATCCTTACATGAGGCTTGACAAAAAGAGAATCTTGAGGGCTACAGACGTGAAGGATGTGCTGGGCCCTGTTAGAGCAGCGAGCTTGGCCGGGTGACAGGGACAGTAACAGGCGAGAGACCCAGCTGTGCCTTGTTTCCCAGGTGGCCTGTGGCACAGCAGACTGATAGACAGAAACCTCATCGACCACTTCATCCCCTTCCTGCCCCTGGAATATAGCCACTTGAAGATGTGCGTGCGGGCAGAAATGAAGGCCCGCGGCTCTGCCATCGACGAAGATGTCGTCACCAGAGTGGCAGAGGAAATGACGTTTTTCCCTAAAGACGAGAAAATCTACTCAGACAAGGGCTGCAAGACTGTGCAGTCACGGCTGGATTTTCACTGAACTCTTATCCAGATGGGGTGAGACGCGGCTGGGAGCCCAGGGAACTCGGGGCCTGGCCTTTCCAAGCACTTTGAAGACCTCTTCAGGGTTTGCACATTTGCACCTGTGGACTTGCAGGATCTGGAAGGTTCTAAGGGTTGATTTTTGAAAGGCTCATCTGTTAAGGGTACTTGTCATTTTGCAACAGCACAGCAACCCAGCTGTTCATTGTGGTTGAAGATGAACTTTTGAAGTCCCTCCCCTCCCCTGCCACTACCACTTAACTGACCTTGACAGAATGACAGAAGTGCTGTGTGAGTGAGACCAAGGACTCTTTCTGTCCCAACGGTACCCACACCTCAGAAGCTGAACTGAAGGAGTTTGAGGGCCCCGCTGCAGTCCAGGGAGCACTGGGTTTTCACCTGCCAGAAACATTCTTCTGCTCTACTTCTTTTTCTTTACAGAGCACGTTCACTAACTTGAAGTATTTTCAGGTAAAATCGATGGCACCTTCAGGCACAGTGTCATGTGGGAGGACCTGGGCCCACAGGCCGAGCGCGCAGCTGGGGGAACCACCTGTGTGTGGCATGGGGGCTCCACGCCAGGCAGGACGGGCAGGACCTCTCTGTCTGTCTGTGGCTTTGCTGCTGATGACAGCCCTGGTCATGGAATTCCTTCTCCCAACTCTCACCTGGTACTGATCGCAGCCTTCCTTGTATCACTTCTACTCCTTAACTTCAGCCCCGGCTAGATGTCCCGCCAGCCATATCATCCCTAGAGTCAGATCAGAACGCGACTGTTGGCTTTGAGTCCTTGTTTCCCACGGTGAGATGTTTGTCTGTTACAGTTTACACGTGGGTCAGTCTCTCACTTGACTGCACAAAACCATTTGAAATCCGCAGGACAGAGTCATTCTCCACAGATGACACGTGCCGACTGAACGGTCAGCTTGCAGGTTCTGGTTGCCAAAGTGGAAGTATTGGACACTAGAAGTGCTTGAGTTTTCAAGGATATGTATATTTTTTATAATGTTCTTACTTCTGAATCTTAGATAATAGAAATATGGGACATTGCTCATTTTAAAACATGGGAAGAAATAATTGCCTATTCCTTTATCAGATACTTTTAAGGTTGCGCCTGATCCTGGTGTCATCTGAGAATGATACCCTGTATGGCAGTGGCAGGCTGGGCTGCCCTGGCCACTGGGAAATACAACTTCCACTCCAGCCAGTGTGAATCGTTTTATCTTGTGGTTGCAATGCAACTGCAGACATGTAATGAGGACATGCAGCTTTTTTTCTATATAAGATGTGGCAGAATGAATGTTCCTCCCATATGGCAATGCCTTATAGAGAATCACACTTAAGTCTTTAAAAAATGCCAAGGTGGGGCTTCCCTGGTGGCGCAGTGGTTGAGAGTTCGCCTGCCGATGCAGGGGACACGGGTTCGTGCCCCGGTCCGGGAAGATCCCACGTGCCGCGGAGTGGCTGGGCCCGTGCGCCATGGCCGCTGAGCCTGCGCGTCCGGAGCCTGTGCTCCGCAATGGGAGAGGCCACAGCAGTGAGAGGCCCGCATACCAGAAAAAAAAAAAAGCCAAGGTGAGGCTTAAAATTTTTGGTACACGTTCTCAAGTTGGAGCTAAGTTATGTTTCTTTTGTCACCTTTTGGGTGTCTGGTCAGGAGGAGATAAGATTTTTTGTTATGATGCAATAAACTCAACACATGTTGGTTACCTTTGGACTGCTGTTACTGATTTGTAACTTGAAAAGGCCACAGTTGCTCATGGCCCAGTCTCCCCACCCCACGTAAGATGTAGAAGAACTTAAATTGACCTACTGAATGTCAAATAATAAAGCCTAAATTTTATCACGTGAGATGCCACTTGTGGATTTTTTTTCTGATTTGGTAGCTCTGACAAGTTTGAGCTTCGAATAAAGGCTCTTCGATAACTCAGGTGTCTCTAGGCTCACCGTACCCTGGACACGCTGGGTACGTTTACCTTAGGGACTTCCCTGGTGGTCCAGTGGTGGAGAATCTACCTTCTAGTGCAGGGGACGTGGGTTTGATCCTTAGTTGGGGAACTAAGATCCCACATGCCGCAGGACAGCTAAGCCCGTGTGCCACAATCAGAGAGAAGCCCGCACGCTGGAACGAACTAAAGACCCGAAGCAGCCAAAAATAAATAAAATAAATTAAAAAAAAAGTATCAGACCTTAAAAAAAAATTTACCTTAAAGGCTGTTATCCCCAAACAAATACAAAGTTAAATTGGATTAGATGATGGGTTCTACTCCATCGAATTTTCATGGATGAAAATACCATCAGAAAGAGCTGGTTGTCTTCCTAACAAATATATTCTCCTAAAATTAACGTAGGAAGGAAACTGAGGCACTCAAACGTGACTCACAGCTGCCATTCTGAACCTGAGCAAGGCCGAGCTCAGACCAGGAAGCCTACTTGCCTGGTCTTGCCTGCCCTGAAGTGGTAAATAATGAAATCCTTGTTATGTTAACCAGATTTCAACTTAATCCCTTAACCTGGGCTCTTATTTTTGACAGTGATTTGTTAACACCAACTCTTCCCAGGACTGAGGATGGAGCCCTTTCTAGAAAGCTGAGACCCTCTTGTCCATCACGTCACCCACTCCTATAATTTCCCAGTTGGAGGTGTTCATCCCATGAGGCTGCCCTTCTCCGTCTGGGTCTCAGGCTAATGTCGCTTCTGTTCACCCCATGCTGCCTCATCTCAAAGACTGAACTTTCCAAGGGGCGTCAGGGGACCCCTATGTTCCCTAATTAGGGACTCCCAGGTGCTGGGGCTGCCATTTTCAGATGAACGGTTAGCCCTAATCCGTTCCTCCCGGGGCCGTGACAACAGGCCAGCTTCAGGTCAACATCAAGCACTTTCCCACGTTCAGTGTTGCCTTAGGGGGCCTGGGCGGGTGGGTAGCCATGAGGCAGTGGGGTCCAACCTGTCTTCTGTGGCTGCTAATAACTGCCCCTGCGAGCACTGTGCAGATGCTCATATCCCACAGCAGCCCTTGTAGGCACATAGGTGTGTTGCACAAAACAAGGCGTGTTTACGTTCCGACACTGCTCTATACTCCTGCCCGGCTTCTCAGTGGGAGGTATGTGTGTAGACTTGAATGAACTCCACAGCTGAGTGTCGGTAGCTCCAGGGCCCCCCTTGATGGAGTGTGACCCCATGGGCAGCTGAGCAAGGAGCCGGAGCTGCCAAGGTCCTCGGAGTCCGTGTCACATTCCCCTCCATTCCAGCCTGGGCTGCGGTCTAAATTCACAGCTTAGGGACTTCCCTGGTGGTGCAGTGGTTAAGACTCCACCTGCCAACGCAGGGGACACGGGTTTGAGCCCTGGTCTGGGAAGATCCCACATGCTGTGGAGTAACTAAGCCCATGCGCCACAGCTACTGAGCCTGTGCTCTAGAGCCTGTGAGCCACAACTACTGAGCCTGTGTGCCACAACTACTGAAGCCCGCACGCCTAGAGTCTGTGTTCCACAACAAGAGAAGCCACCGCAATGAGAAGCCCGCACACTGCAACGAAGACCCAATGCAGCCAAAAGTATAAAATAAAAAAAAATTTTTAAATTAAAAACAAAAGCAAGTCACATGAATGTTTGTGTGCCACACTACTGAAGCCCGCACGCCTAGAGTCTGTGTTCCACAACAAGAGAAGCCACCGCAATGAGAAGCCCGCACACTGCAACGAAGACCCAATGCAGCCAAAAGTATAAAATAAAAAAAAATTTTTAAATTAAAAACAAAAGCAAGTCACATGAATGTTTAAAAATAAATCAATAAATGAATAAATAAATAAATTTTATTTAAAAAAAAAAAAAGAATCTGCCTACCAATGCAGGGGGACGCAGGCTCGAGCCCTGGTCCAGGAAGATCCCACATGTTGCAAAGCAACTAAGCCCGTGTGCCACAACTACTGAGCCTGCGCTCTAGAGTCTGTGAGCCACAACTTCTGAGCCCGAGTGCCACAATTACTGAAGCCCACATGCCTAGAGCCCGTGCTTCACAACAAAGAGAACCCACCACAACGAGAAGCCTGCAAACCGCAACGACGAGTAGCCCCGCTCGCTGCAACTAGAGAAAGCCTGCACACAGCAACGAAGACCCAGTGTGGCCAAAAAAAAAAAAAAATTCACAAATCATACACAATTTTATTGTAAAATGGTAGCTGTTTGCATTAATAAATAAAAACACTGTTCTCAGCATCCTGGGGGTTAGCTGAGCTTTCCTAGAGGTTTGGGGAGTTCTGATAAAACATAATGAAAATTAGTAATCAGTGAGGAAGGTTTTAAGAAAATATGGCAAAACCTGGTACAGAGCGTGTGGCTCATTTAGGAATGGAAAGCAGAGAAGGGCCTTTGCAAAGCTGACTGACCAGCCAGTGACAAGCTGCAGATGCTTTTCTTTCGAGGAAATTCTATTTCTAACAAATTGTTCACGATGTTACTAAGATCATTCCCACAGTTCACAATGCTATTGTGATGAAAACTCTTGGGGAGGACATTTAGGTCTTGTCTGTGACGGGCCTGAGTGTGTCCCCTTACACACTTGTCCTTCTATAAACACTTACTGCCCTTGCGATGGTCATCCTGGGACAGATCGGCTCGCTGCTAGAGCCTCCATCTCCAGTACAGTGACACCATCCTACAGAAGACAGGCCGAGGACTCAGGCTTTTTAGAAGACATCACAGTGTATGTTGTAATGACAGGAACTTAAAAACACACACAAAGCCAACAACTTAAGAGTCTGAAAAGTTTCTTCATAATGTTAAAAACCATTTTAAATAAAATTATCACATTTTCAGTAAAACTGATTCATCCTTCCTTGAAACAGAAACACTTGAAATTAAAACATGATTTTTACAAAACCATGAGGCCTGGCACAGGTGGGCTGGGGGCTGGCTGCTCCCGATTCTGCAGGCTCTGGGGCTGTTTCCACCTGTGACGCGTCACCGACGGCCCGCAGGCCCTGCCGGATGAAAATAACGCCCAGGAAAATGCCTGTCCTGTCACACACCGGAATAATTCATTTTACTCCTCTTCCGGGACCAGAGTGGGGATGCGGGAAGCAACATCTCTGGTGCCATCAGT